TCTTTTTTTTTTCTTTTTTTTTTCTTCTTTTACTTCTTTTTCTGTTGCCAGGGAAGCAATGAATCACTATGCGTTTGGCATGAACCTGGCATGTTTACGAAGATTAATTTTAAGTCCTGAGAGAGATTTATATATAGGTTGACAGATGGGACATAAAATTATCAGCCGAAATGTTGTTATGGGTAACAACTGCTGGCTGGGTGCCGGCAGCCTGATAGATTTTCAACTGAACTTTTGACAGTCTTACCACATTCTGGGCACAATTAGCAACAGATTAATGAATTCTGGATTGATTTTACGCGATCTCGATTAACACAGCAGTTAAAAGACAAGCCAGATTATAAAGTTCATATAAGATTAGAACCTTGTCATTTGCTGCATCTATTAAATCCTGATCATCTCCTTTTCTAGTTGCTCATTTCAGTTGTACATATACGCGTCAACATAATCAGTTATCGCCATATTGGACTTTCTTCCGCAGTGTTCTGACCTTGGCCTCTGCTTCCCAGTTTTCACGAAAAAATTTTAACGTATCTTTTTTATGCATTTTATGTCCAGGTCGCCCTCCAAACACTCGAAAAGTTTATTGGTCATACGTCCATCGACCAGACGAACTATATGTCGAGACCATCGAAGACGACTGGCTATGACTTCGATTGGTGGACGAGTTGCTGTTGAAAATCAATTCTTTTCATGAAAGACCCGACAGGTTCTGTAAAGAGTAGTGTGCATGCTCTTCCCGGAGCAAAGCATCCTGATATAAATAAATCAGGTACAAAATAATAAAAAGACAACAAAAAGAGACTTTATAGATAATGTGTCGGCTGCTTCCACATACTAGGTAATAGTAAAACTGTCCAAATCGTGTAACTGTATAATTACCCAGCCAACAAAATGTTTAATGACTAAAAAAATACTAAACTAATTGGGTCTCTTTTTTCCAGGTTTTCAGATGAGATGTTTAGCCATCTAGTCGTAAGAAACACTGAAAAACCCTTTGAGTTATTCGGCTAGAAAGAGAAAGATAGTTTTGTGTCAGATCGTCATTCAGGCCTTATAACAGATTCATAATCGTATCTTCAAAGCCCATCCAAAAAATGGGAGAACAGTAAATAAGTTTGAAAAAAAATAGGGATAGGGGACATAAGAAAAGTTCTAACACAATTCATAAGTTTATTGGCACGAGAAGCAGTTTCTTTATGACAGTCAAAAGTTTTTTCGTGTTTAGTACTTCAGTACCAGAAAGTTGATTTAGACTGATTATCTTGAATAAGTTCCACTGACTCTGGAATAATATATATATATATATAATATATATATATATATATATATAAGGTTCATTTATTTAATTCATTTTATTTCATTTTAATTTTATATATATATACTTCGGGTATATATATATATATTTTTCTTTATATATATATATATATATTCCACTGTTTAGAAAATATATAACAAAATGGTTCATAGTATATATATATATATTATATATTTTATAGGGTTATATATTTATATCGGTGGTCGTACGGGTTTTATTTTGTTTAGTGGCATATCAACCTCTAGTTTTTATTTAATACCGAAATCTAAATATGATAAAAACAATTTTATAGATCCCGTGTTGTGGAGTTATTTCGCAGTGGAGGTTTGTATTTTTACTAAATCGGTCCTAAACAGTTCGACGTACAAAACGTTAGGAACTTGATATAATAGGTATTACGCAGAGTAATTATGTTGTGGTCGCTGACTACTTTCGTATTCGACTAACTGTCGTCCGACATCGACCGACCCTCGTTTTTATTACTACTCCTACTTATATTAGGTGGGAGAGTCTATTAACTATAGAATAGGTGTGTTTCACCATAACATGCCGCTAAATATATTTTAAACGTAATTGTATGCCTTCAACTACAGCTATAATGTATTGTTGTTCATTTTATAAAATTGTATCTTTCTGCTTTCATAATGTTTTGTTTTTGTTTTCACTGTTTGCTCATTGCTGGGACCCCCCCCCCTAACAGGTGCTACCACCCCGATTCAGGCTGGACCTGGATAGAACAGCAGCGGTAGTTCATCGCCCTTCAAAAACTTCTATCAGAGGCCATGCTGCCGGATGTAGTCTATCGTCATATCCAGGACTGGTGATGGTACGGGAACTGGTGTTTTCAACGTGATGCAGCTGTAAGTCAAGTGTGATAATAAAGTGGCAAAAGTTATATAGAGCAAAAAAAAGAGAGGAAATATGGAAGTGTTGTGATCGTTCATTTCCTGAAAGGACACCAACTTCTACTTTGTGCGCCGAAAGTTACACTTGACATATCAATAAAAGGTTATTAGCTTTTGATTTTGTATAATCTTCCTACCGCGATTTCCCGCCAGTTGGTCATGTGACCCACCTAGCCTAAACTTGGAAAAATCGAAAAATTTTATTTGCGGCTAAACTATATATAGCCTAGGAAAATTAATATTTTTCACAAAATTTAGCCCAGAAATTTTCAAATATAGAAAAAAAAACGTTTACCGAGGTTAATGTTGCCGAATTGAAAAGTTATATTAATAATACAATGAATTAGCCCCTTTATCATACAGTTGGTCCAAAACGGTGTGGCGCGTCTTATAGATGCGGCGGAAAAGGATAGCCGGTGAGGCGAAATGATTGAAAGACAAAGATTTAGAAACAGTTTTTATAAATTTATATGCTAAAAATAAACATGATTTCAAAATTTAAAAGATAATTTGGATTACTTTTAATTGCATGCATGAGTAATTACTGGCCGATTTTTATCATTGTAATTATATGAAGTATTAAAACAATACTAACTAGCGTTTGCAAATTGATGGAGAGAGTTATCAATAATAATGTTCTGACTTCGAATACGCGGTTATCTCCCGTTAACCTTCACTCTGTTGTTTTTTTTTTTTAATATTTTTTAATTATCACAGTCACGAGCAAAATCTAATTCTGAAAATGCGGCTCAGATAAAAAAAATGTTTGGGAAGCACTGCTTACTTCAATCTTTTTAAAGAAAATGATAAGAGGAAAAATTTAATGAATATGATGTTAAAAATAAGACATGTATTAATAATAATAAATAAAAACATGAATAGTGAATTTTAAGAAAAAATTCCATTTGAACCTTAAAATAAAGAGCACGTCATAATAAAACTGAATTATTTATATCTGGATGATTGCACCAGAAAGAGCATGCACACTCTTCTTGACAGTACTTGGCGGGGGTTTTCAACTGTGTACGTGTCATTCTGGGAATAAAAAGCTCATGTGTGCTGCGTTCGAAGCCGTATACTGATTGTAAAGTCTGTATATTCCTGAAAAACAAATGAGTGGTGTTCGGTGGCAGGTAAAGTGTTGTGGAGTGATTTCACAGTGGAGGCTTGTATTCGTACTAAGTCGGTCCTAAAATAGGTTCGACGTACAAAACGTTAGGAACTTCATATAATAAGTAGAACGCAGAGAAATCTAATTGTAGTCGCTGATACTTTAGTATCCGACTAACGGTCGTCCGGCATCGACTAACTGACCGACCCACTCAGCGACTGATTCGTTACTCTTACTACTCCTACTTATTATAGGTGGGAGAGTCTATTAACTATAGAATAGGTGTGTTCCACTATAACATAAAGAACTTTAATAAATTTAAAATTTTCTAAGATTTCATCGTAGAGGACTTTAGGGCGTCCAGGGGCGTTGCCGAGGATGGGTAGGGCCTTTACAGGGAGACCTTTTTTTTTTAGGAACACGTGAACTTGAAGGTCAAAAACATCGTTGCTCCATTCTAAAAAAATGCCTTGTGACCCAGGCCTTACTGTTAGCCCTCCACATGACCTGCAGCTGCCTCTTCTGGATCTTATGCGCCTTGAACCCCCAGAGGTTCTCCGAATGACAGACAGGCAAGAACTTGATTTTCAGATCACCACTCGCATTAGCCGTGTACGTATTCCTGGGCATTTTCTTCCAGAAGAATCCAGTCTCATTGCAGTTGAGCACCTGTTGAGAGACATATCCCTCTTTTGCGATAAGCGAACTGAACTCTTTCCTGAATTCATCGGATGTCTTCTTATCAGAATTGGCTGCTTCACCATGTTTCAAAATGCTGTCCACACTGGTTCGCTTCTTAAAATTGTCGAACCTGCCCCGACTGGCCTTCAACTCTTCAGCTGGAGTCTCTCTTCTGCTTCTGGAGATCCCTATACAGTACTCAGGCTTTCTCAGCAATAATCGAATCCGTCAGAGTATCCCCTGTGATCTGCTCCTCGTTAATTCAAAGATGCAGCTTTACCACCACCTCGTGGATATTCGTCCTTTGCCTGAACAGCCTGAAGATACTTTTTGCTGGAGTAACACTCTTTATCTCATCCTTCTGCTTCAGGATGGTGCAGATCGCTGACATCGTTCGGTCGGATTGTCCGGCCGAGTTCACTACACACTCCTCTCTCGTTTTTTTTTTTTATTATTTCTTTATTCACTTCTAATTGTAATTAGCTTTTACTTCTTATTTTCTCTTATCTATAACACATGCTTTCTTCGAATCTTTAAATAAATGCAAAAGTTGAACGTTTCACAGAAAATTCTCTGGCACAAAACGATCGGGATGTTACCGAAATGAATACTTGAATTGAGTGAAGACATGGGCGGTAACTAAAGGTAAAGGGAGGTAATCGATAGCGTTGGTAGATGACGTTATCTGTGATAAGTACTTCGAAGAATTTTCTACAATAAAACGAACGTCAGGCGTTTACAGATGCGCTTCGCCTTACCTTTGGCCATGTTGTTTCTTAGAAATAAATGACGTCAGCTGGCAACGCTTCCTTTTACCTCAGTCACCGATTGCTTTCGTGAATATGACGGTTGCTAGTACTACGAATTTTTACTTGTTTTACGATACAAAAATGCTCACGAATGGTAACTTGTAAAGCAAGTTGCTCGTATAATGGGGCACTCGTACTACGAGGTTCTACTGTACTGCAAAATAGGAAAATTTCACGTTAAAACACTGGTCCCCATACGCCCACCGAAGTTAAGCAAGGTCGAGTCTGGGCAGTACCTACATGGGTAACCGCTTGAGAAAACTAGGTGCTGTAAGTTTCGAGGGTTAGCTCTGTTAATCGGAGAGCTGAGTTCCAATTTGCGTTGGGTATGTTTCAAAAACATGATCGCTTGAATTGTGTATAAAACCTGGGATATTCTTGTTTTAAAATCGCCAAAAATGTTAAATCTGTTCTTCATAAATCATCATAAAGAATTATTTTATCAGCTATGTTATGAAACTTTAATTCGATTAATATGGTTGTCAGACTACAAATAGGTGATACGCACAATTGGGAAAGATGTGAATCGACCTATTCCCCCAACTATGGGTTAATTAGTAAGATTTCTATCATTAAACCCTTATTATCTTCGCAAAAACAATTCTTACAATCTAAAAAATATGGCTTTAAATAACCTGCAAAGGGTTGATAAACCGTAGAAAACGAATAAATCTGTTATTATTTCTATTCAATTATTACATGAAAATATCGACCTTCAGTCCAACGTACTAACACCTAGCCAATCGCATTTCTATTCAAGTCGTATTTTCACGTTCTGTTTATTCAAGTGATAGACAATCGTTCGATTCGTAATTGTTAAAAAAAATAGTAAAAGATAAATCACTTGAGGGAAATTATAGTCGTCTTTGTCTTGATTAAGGACTTTGTATTTTATTGTTTCTCGAACCCGGTTAAGTAAAGAAGAACAGTTCTGATAAAAGAAAAGTAGTTAAAGATTCAAAAGAAATGCATATGTTGGACAATAATTGTATCTGGAAGAGAATCAATTGAGTGGAACTTTATTTACGCTGATTCAATTAAGTTCCTCAGTGCGGCAGCTTGCTTCAAGTGACTCACGCTTTCTCCTTAAAACCGACAAATTACAACTGAACGTTCATGCAATGAAAGAAGACATAATCTGCTTACACGCGAATAATTCGGGTATTCTTCGATATACGATACATATGCAGAAAGGTGTTCCCCCAGGTTCTTCGGTTCATTAGAGCCCTCTCCCCAACATCTTTCTATATTTCCGCGATTTTTCAAATATTATGGCTGTTCATCATGAGACGTTTCAAAAACATGATAGCTTGAATTGTGTATAAAACCTGGGATTAGCTTTTACTTCTTATTTTCTCCTATCTATAACACATACTTTCTTCGAATCTATGGTTAAATAAATGTAATAAAATTTGAACGTTTCACAGAAAATTCTCTGGCACAAAACGATCGGGATATTACCGAAATGAATACTTGAATTGAGTGAAGTCATGGGCGGTAACTAAATCGATAGAAATCGTCTGCAAATTTTAAAATCGCCAAAAATGTTAAATCTGTTCTTCATAAATCATCTTAAAAATTATTTTATCAGCTATGTTATCAAACTTTAATTCGATTAATATGGTTGTCAGACTACAGATAGGTGATACCAAAATCAAACAAGCAAAACAATTTAAATATCTGGGAAGTTTTTTTGTTTTTTTTTAACAGAGACAAAAAGTATCACATTGAAATTCGAAGGTGCATTAGGATAGAAACAGAAAAAAGTTTTATGTAATATCGGCCTTCCTAAAGGGAAGTAAATGCAGGACAATCTCCTCACAGGACTTGAAATTACAGAAAGATGCTGAGAACACCATGGACTGAACATGTGAGTAACGACGAAACTTTAGGGAAAATGGAAACAAAAGGAAACCTATACGTAACCCCAGGGGAAAATGTTGGAATTTCTAAGATACATACTAAGGAAAGAGGAAGAAAAGGACAGGAAGTTGTAGAGAGCCATGATCGTCAACCTCCTGAATGGACACTACACACAAAAAAAAAATAAGATTGATTTTTTTTTTTTTTCGGCGTATCAAACATTTGCAGGTAATTTAAAACCAGAAAATAACTTAGACATCCGGAAGAGGCGTGGCATGTGGAACTAGAACAATCTACGCCAGTGGACGAAATAAATTCCAATCACGTGAAGAAAGTCGGAGCGTTCAACGTTGTGAATATGGCAATGAAGATGAGGATAGCAGTTCGAATAATGTAAATCTTAATACCTCTTCTCAGTGATATGGACTGATATTTTTTCTTAGATTGTAAGAATTTTTTGGAGATAATAATGATTTATAATGATATAATTTCTACCAGTTAACCCAAATATGGAGGCGTGGTAGATTCATGCATTTCTCAGATAGCTGTACGTTTCGGTTTGGGTGAAATAACAAAAAGACTAAATTTATTAAGAGCTACAAAGGACAGGAAGTTGTAGAGAGCCATGATCAACAGGTTCCATACGATCTCCTAAGTTAACCAAAGTCGAGCCTGGCCAGAGTCTGGATGGCTTGGAAATATTAGGTGCTGTAAGCTTGATCTATTGTATAATGGATAATGGCTCGCAATTGTTAACTGGGGAGGCGAATTCCAATTCTAGCTTGGTTCGTTATATTCACTTACGCGCAAAAGCCATTAGAAAAGGCAGAATCTTCTCCCCAGCTATGGGTTAATTAGTAAAACCTGTATCCCTAAATAATTATCCCCCACCCAAATTCTTGTAATATAAAATATTTTCTAGCTTTAAATAACATGCAAAGAATTGATAACCCGTAGAAAACGAATCAATCACCAGTCAAAACCTACATCCTAAATTAAGATAAATGGAGCAAGAATCATAGACATCAGTAGTAAGGAAATATTTTGTTCCCAATTCTGAGAACAAAATGAGGTGCTTAGTGAAATTTTACACTAATTACTTTTGACTCTAAGAGTAGATACCCACTCTCCTCCTCCTCATCTTCCTCCTCCTCCTCCTTCTTTTATATATCGTGTTCCCTCAAGTCATGGGAGATCATGGCTCTTCACAAATTCCTCTCATTTTTAGTTCTTATTTGGCTTTGACTTTCGCCCGGTTTTACCATTCATGCACAGAATCTCGTTAATTAGGTTATGACCAGTTGCCCTCTATCTCTCTTACATACAATATCTCCTATGATTCCCAAATTCTCCAAGACTTCTTTCCTCAGTATGTGTCCTAGAAAGTTCAACTCTCTTTCTGATTCTAAGTGTAATCTTTTTTTTTTTTTTTTTCATTTTCCTAAAAACTTCCTCGTTACTCACGTACTCAGTCCATGGTATCCTTCTGCAGAACCATATCTCTGTCGCCACAAGTCTCCGCTTCGTCTGTAAGGAAATTATCCAAACATTCCCTGACATAGCAGTTAAAATACTTTCATTAGTACCCACAAAAAACGTTTTATAATTTAAAGTTGACCCTATAATTTCTCTTTATTCTTGTCTGTGAAAACTCGTCAATCCTATCAATGTTCGCTGTACACAACTTACACCGGGATCCTGATTACTTTAAAAGTGTATTCTAAATTCAAGCCGTCGGTTAGTTTCCCACAGATAATTCATAGCTTCGTGAATTAGCGCATAAGAAATGTTCAACCAGCAGGCCCTATTTATGAGATCTGTCCAGAAATTAAGCATTCATTTAACAACAGCAACAACAACAACAATAATAATAATAGCCTACCGAGTGTAATGGTGACAGATTATTCCCCTTGAGATGTTATCATATCGTTCCTTGTTCAAACGAATATTTCAAAGTCTTCTTACGGGTTCGCGAAATACTTAACTCGTGATCTCAGCCATGATCTCTCGGTCAATTGTGCTTTTAGTTTTGGGAAAATCCAGAAGATCCAAATATAAACTGTATTTTAAGAAAGAATGCGAAATGCTGTCCCAAACCCCTACACGAGACGTAAAGAACTGGCAGCTGGATTATGGCGAAGTGTCCAGTCACACATCATTACTCAAAGAAGTAGTCGTTTTCTTCTTAAAACCTCAATGTCGTTCTCCTTGACGAGCAAACTCACAGTGGGGAAAAAAACCCTGCATAATAATCGCTCTTAAAAATCAATAATTTGAAGTTAGATTCTATAGTGTTTCCCTCTTGTGAGCTCTGTCATGTCGAAAGGGAGCACTGGGAGTTTGTATTTCATTTATGGGGCAGTGAACATACTCAGTGAGGTAATAGGCATTTATCCATTTTTTTTTTCAAATTTTCAAAAAATATTAGGTACAAAACGAAATTTTGAAAGGTATCTAAAGCTGTGGGAAGCTATCAAACTTTTCCTCAATGTTTTTCCAACTTCCTATATCGTGTGATCTTATCCATGATCTCCCGGTGATTTGGGTTTTGGGAAAATCCAGAAGATCCAAATATGAACTGTATTCTCAGATAGAATGCGAAATTTTGTCCCCAAACCCCAGCGTTAAAACCAGTTAGAACTGGTTTTAACGCAGTTACACAAGCTTTTTACTAAACAAAGAAATCGTCTGCAAATTACAAAACGAGATCTGCGATTAATTCTAACCAGCATGGAACCTAGAGGAAGAGCATTAGTTAGTAAGCACCAAAGTCAACCATCGCATTGAAAACGTGGAGATATTAAATATAGGGTCTTCCAGTAACTTGGACCGATTTTAAATGTGAATTAAGTTTAAGTCTTTAATGCTTTCGTTCTTTTTTTTTTCAGATTTAACAACTTAAGTCTTCAACCATGGAAGGATTAACAATCAAAGAACGTATTAAAGTTATCGAAGACTATTACAAAAATGGAGGTTCAAATTTATAAATATACGGTCCAGTGATAAATGTATAGAGAAATATTTTGTTTAGACATATTTTATTTTAGAACACCGCAAATTTCACACTCCTTCCATTTCTTTTGAACAGGAATGGCGGTTCATCACTTCTTTCCTTTTTAGAATTGGATTTCCGGTTTCTCCTATAACAGTGTTTCCCAATGAGGGCGCTAGCACTCCCTTGTGGGCTCTGTTCTGTTGAAATGGGTCACTGGGAGTTTGTATTTCATTGGGGGGGGGCAGTGAACATACCCAGTTTATTCATTTTTTTTTTTCAAATTTTTAAAAATTATTCAATATTGGCTACAAAACAAAATATTTGAAAGGTATCTAAAACTTATCTATCAAACTTTTCTTCATTGCTTTCCCAACTTCCTATATGTCTGAATGTTGTTTCATCGCAGTTACACAGCTT